TTTGGAGAGATACACTGTTGTTTATTGCAACTGGATGTATTTATATTTTTGAATAAAAACATTTTTATAGGGATGAGGCTGCGGCCGGAAATTCGAGAACGGTTACATTTATATATATTGTTATATTGTTATCGATTTTGCTCTTTTTCGAACTGTGCGTTCAAAAAACTCACTGTGAGTGGAATAGGGAGGGGGATAAATAATTGATGATTCCCTTTGGAAAATTCGATGGAATATTTTTAAAATAAAATACAAAAAAAAAAAAAAATAAAATAAAATAAAATAAAATAAAACGCAATAGTCTAGATTGGATTTTGTTTTTCAAAAAAGATGAAATATGGAATGGAATTTTATCGTATTTTATCCATATAATTGTCACTGTTTAAAAAAAAAGAACCGGTTTTATCGTTTAAATTAACACAAAATAGAACCACTTCCGATACATTATCTGTAAAGATACTAATTTATTCCGAGCAAATGAACGATTCTACGTGTTCATTGCGCAGTAAAATCGACGGAAAAGCTGAGAAACGTTTAAACCCGCAAAACCCGCCCAAACTTTTCCTTTTTCCCAACTAATTCTACACACACGCAATCCTTTCTGCTTCGCCCTTATCGATACTTAACGCACACACCCCATTTACCAATACTCGAAACAAAAACGGGGGAGACGCAACAAACCATCGAATCCATCCAAAAGAGCCTTCGAGAAGAAAAAAGGAGAGAAGAGGGAAGAAAGAAAAACCGCTAGAAAGAAAAGAAAAAAAGGAAAAGGAAACGCACAGAACGAAGCAACGAAGATCCTGTTTCCCCCGTTTCCTTTTATCCCGGGCGTTTCAGTATTCACGAAGGCACCTTGCGAATCTTTCATCGCCTGAACGAACTGCACTGAAGGAACAGGTACCGTTCCGCGTTATGTTCGACGGGCGTAAAAGAAACGGCCGGCTCGCCACTTCTTTGCATTCTCGTCGGCCCGGTTCCGCGTTCGCGAGTTAATTCAAATCGGCCGGCCCCCTCTTTGTATTCGACGCAGCCTCTGGACTCCTGATTAGCGTTAACGGTGCTGGACGCACGGTTATATACCTTACAGTGCGTACGATGAGGTACGCAACGCCTACCTGAGCCGTCATCCCTTGCCGATCGATCCTCCGAAGATCGATCGACGGAGTGCGTGCGCCGCCTTTCGAGGAAAACAACGATTCGCGAAATTTCTGGAGAATTTAAATTGGACCCTCGGTTGAGGGACGAAGGGGAGGAAGGGATGGACGGATCGAGGTGGAAGTTGTTGCTCGTTTCATACTTGAGATTCAGCCGAGGGTGCTAAGTAAATGTCGATGGGATGGAAAGTTGAAGCCGTGTGGAAAAATTTGGCGCTGTTTAATTTTGCATTGTGGTAGGTTTGGTATCTTAAGTAGAGAAATTAGAATGGTAGTTGTGAAAGTTGTTGCTTGTGATCAGAGTGATAGGATAGGAGAGCAATGCTTTCGGATGGATTTCGATCGTTTTCCCTCTGATTAAACTTCTTCGTATGAAATGACATTAGAGGGACGTTTGGAACGCGTGGACTTAGGCCAACGTGTGTCTACTGAGAAAACGTTATAATTGTGTCGGTGTAGAGGGAAAGAGAAAGAGAAAGAGGAAAAAGGGTGAAACGCTGTCTACCCTTCTATGGTTGCATTTACAGCGAGCCGTAGGACATTTGCATTTGCGGCTGGAAGCCTTGGGCTCTTCCACTTTCTACCGTCATTTTTCAGCTCTCTTTCTTCCGTATTAAAGAGTCAATGTCTCTACAAAAAAAGAAGAGAGAGAGAGAGAGAGAAGAAGAAAGGCGAGAGAAAGAAGAAAGAAAGAAAGAAAGAAAGAAAGAAAGAAGGAAGGAAAGAAAGAAGCGTTTATACTACGTCCGAAGTTAACTTCATGCTAAATTATAATTCTGGAAAAGTATGACCGAGGTATGTCCTCGTTGCACGCTACGCCAAGCAATTTTATTCGTTCCCTCTTTTTTCCCCGCACCTCCCTCCTGTCTGCCATTTTCTAGAGGGGCGAACTTGTATAATATTCAAGCTGGAACTTTTCTATTTATCGTACATTCGTCCATCGTAATTGAGGCTGCCTTTTCGTCCCGATCGAACTTCTGAAGAGGAACTTCTTGCATCGTAGCCGAGTAATTTGCGAATCGAGAGAAGAAATTTCATTCTCTCATCGGCCCTCGATACCAATGGAAACTTTGTGAAAATTCAATTTTCCCGCGGAAGATCGCGCGGAATTCTTATTTAAGGAAACACGATAAAGATCCCTTTAAATCTTTTTTTTATTGGACGAGTTTAACGCGTCCCCCTTTCCCTTGGAGGAAAAGCGTGATACCAATCGATCTTATTTAAGTCTGAAAGTTTTATCGGTTTCAATGCGAAACAAATAATGGTAACGAAGAAGCGAGGGTGAGTGACCTATCCTAACGTGACCCTGTTTCGCTTTCCTTTTCTCTCAATGCATCGTACCACGATCTCTGGCCGAGCCTCTTCATGGTTTCCTGCTTCTTTCCTCCCTTTTTCAACGGGTTTCTCCTTTCACGCGCGAGCCTCCCTTCCTTTAACTTCATTCGTTTCCCGCGAATGGGCGAATTTTGTTTCGTTTTCTCTTTTTTTCTTTTCTTGTTTTCCTTTTCCTTTCGTTTTGTTCGAAATTTCGCTAGTCCTCCACTCCACATTGAAAAATTCAGTCTTCCACTTCTTTTATTAATATCAATGTTTCACCGGGCCAACTGCCTGCTTCGGGGGATGAGAGATCCTCCCCTCCGCGATGGAAAATGGCGCGTTCCTTTGCGATGAATCGTTGATTTCGTGTGACGAGTTTAAGTTTAAACGAATGAATGAATTTTAATGTAAACCGGAGCGAAAGTTTTTATTTTGACGGATGACGCTTTTAGGTGAGATTTAATGACATCGTGGTAAATCGAGGATACTTTTCAAAAAAAATCGGAACCCGTTAAACGGAAGATATTACGCGTAATAATAAAATTGTTAAATTTGGAAAGAAAAATAAAAAATATGTATATATAAATAAAATATAAAATATCTCATCATTCGTGAATAACGTTAAACTACTTATATATCTCAGTTTCCTTTTTTTTTATTTTTCTGTTCTTCGACACGCGCATCCCCTGTACAAGTTTCCATACTCGTATATTTCTTTTCGATTTCATCTGATATCGCTTCACTTGTTTCCCTTTAAACATGCATCCTATCTCTAAAGCTTCTTTCGTGCTCGAGGATACATATATATATATATATATATAGGAAGAATTTTTTACAGGATAAGCTGCAAAATTCCTTAACCGATAATCCCTTCCTTTTCCTTTTATTAACGGCAGTGAAGAAGATAAAGAAGTTGTTTTTATCTCTTCCTGGTGTCCTCGTACTTCTCTCGCTACATTCCTCGCACAAGACTTCGCGATGTTCAAGGGTTATAAATTAAACGCTCGTCGCGAGAGCAAATTAATTTCCCTTCCGGAAATCCTCAGGAGCGGGGACAAGTTCCGGATCTCGAGCGTCGACAGCTTCTTACCTCGTGTCATCATCGTGATGACGAAAACGTAATGAGAGGCAAACGTTGAAGAGAAGGAAAAAAAAAAGGAACGGAGGAGGAGAAGAAGAAGAAGAAGAAGAAGTAGGAGAAAAAAAAAGAAAATAAGAGAAGAAGACCAACCAACCAACCTCAACCTGCTTCTCTTCCCCCTTTGAGAATCCTCCCTTTCTTTTGTGACCGCACAGTACTTTATATTTACGGGCACGGCGAAAAGCATCTCGTTTCTTCGTACACTTTGTCGATGCTTCCCTCGTTCACCCCCTCCTTTTTTTTTTTTTTTTTTTTTTTTTTTCAAGCTCTTTTGAACTCCTAAGTATCCACACTTCCATTGTACCTCCATCCCTCTTCCACTTCCTCCGTTTTCACTTTCTCTTCTTCCTTCCGTCGTCGAAAAAAACAAAGAAAGAAAGAAAAAAAAAAGAGAAAAAAAGAAGAGGAATTCTTAAAACCTCTCGCATTTGACGAAAATCCATTCGAAACGCGCAAACCTCATCTTCAACCCCCTCCCCCACTCGTCACAGACGAATTTTCACAAAGAACGTCCACCGCACACACCCTCTCTCTCTCTCTCTCTTTCTCTCTCTCTCTCTCTCTCCTTTTCTCTCTCACTACCGACTCGAAAACTCGAGCGATCACATGGAGGAAAAAGGAGGCCAGGGGGACGACCTACGCCAACCCTTTCCTGTTTACAACAATCACTCGCGTCGCGGGGTGCTGTGTTCGCGAACGGTCGAAAACCATCCCGCGTCTTCTCACTGTACATATATATACATATATATATATTTTTTTTCATCGTTTCGTTCATCCCTCTCAGCCTTTTCTTTAAGGACAGATAGCCACATACACACACACACACACACACACATACACATACACAGCGTGCTCCTCGTCCATTTGTCCCTCCGGCACTCTGCTTGATCTTCTCTCTCTCTCTCTCTCTCTCTTCTCCTCTTTCTCCTCTCTCTCACCCTCCCCGTCCCTTTCGATTCTCCCTCCTCCCTCCGCGGAGAGTCTCCCTAT